GGCCGATGCTGCTCTGCTCCGAACCTGGCGGAAGAGAGAGATAGAGCGAGGCGTTTTCTGAGAAGAAAATAAAGTCGAGAAAGGACCAGTTGTTTGAGTGGGTCATCGGCCAACTGGAGCCTGTTGAATTGTGAGTGTTGTGTTGTCATCAAGAGCCCCAAAAAGGACAACCAGTATGACAAAGTCAGTAGAAACACAGCTGCGATGCGGACTTTTCTTGCCTGATCCATGACACTACAACTGAAAATGGCTTCAAATTCAGAAAGAAACAACAACGATCGTGCACGCTTGGCCGGCCTTGGATCTGGACCTTTCTTCTTCTTGTAATCAAAAATCAATGAACAATTTGAAAACTTTGTCTGAAATTTTTTGTTATAATGAGCAAAAGGCCTGTTTCCGTGGGAATCCGTGTCGTCATTGAGTTTCCCTGTTGATTTTGTGACGTAGACAAATGCGCCAGGCCGCGGCAGTCATGAGCTGCAAGAAAAACAAAACACTGTGTGACCCCGCGTCTGCATCAAGTGCTGCGACTTGACGCTGCATCCAGCTTCAAACTTGCCGTAGTGTGACCGAGGCTTTATCCCCTTTTTGGGTCCAAAAAAGGACCAAAAAATGAAAGTTGTCAGAATGAGGCCATATCTGGCTCATTTTCCTCCTGAAATGCTGAACTTTCCGCTGGTGTAATTTTTTATGCGGTAAACAACACGACGGTTGGGACATTTTAAAAATTCAAACCAACTCCCACTGGGAATTTGTAAAAAATCAGCTGATCTCCACTTTGAATGCAGTTCGCAAGCACGATCAATCTTCGTTCCGGTTCACCGCGTGGATCGCGGAGGGTGCCAAGACCGCCAGCTCATTGTGTGTGTGTGTGTGTGTGTGCCGTGTTGGCTTGTAGTTGTACCCCATACCGACCCGTACATCTACTCAGCTCTGCAGTACAGTCAGCAAGTCAGCACTGGTACGGTGACACTGTCAGCACGAACAAAAAATGCAAATCTGCGTCAAAGGAAGTACAGACAAATTTGGAAATTGGCGTGTCCGCTGTTCTCTGTAGCTTTTGTATTCTGGTCATTGGCAATAAGAGGAGACAGTCCGCTAACTACAGAGCCAAGAAGCGTGTTTTCTACGGGAACCAGTTCCAGCGCCCCTAGCGCAGAGATCTGGAGAAAGAAAACGAGTCTGCATCTCGTGCTCAAACTGAAAGTGACTCTGAGCAATTGGGAGTACCTGACACGTCTCGTAGCTGCGAACCCTTGGCTGACGATCTGAACTTACTTGCAGATGAGGATACTGAGAGCGCTGGTGACTCCAATGAAGACTCGAGTGAGGAGAGTGATGAAGTCCTGGATTCTGACAACCGGAATTTTAGTTTGCAGAAATTAAATTTAATTGCAGAATTTATTGTCCACATCAGCAGTTTGCAGAAAATGTAAGAGCTGGCCTAGTCTCCATAATTGAAGTTGCATGCAACTACTGCACTTCTGTTGCTTCACCGCCCGCAGTGGTAAAGACATCCAGTTATTTTGGATTGAATAGAAAGAGCGTACTGGCTATGCGCCTGCTTGAACGAGGCCGCGAGGATTTCCGGAAATTGTGTGCATTCCTCGATTTGCCAGCGCCGGTTGCAAAGAAGAATTACCAGCGCCTCGTGAAGAATCTTCACCAAGCTGCTAAAGCTACTGCAAGTTTGAGCATGAAAAATGTTGCTGAAGTTGTGTTCACACAACGAGTTGCAGCCGGGGAGGAATTGCCAGCCGAAATCGCCGTCACAACGAACAGAACATGGATGCGACGAGGATGCAGCTCCGTATATGGCATGCAGACTGTGATTGCTTGGGAGACGCACAAATTTGTGGACGTGGAAGTGTTAACCCGCTATTGTCCTTTCTGCACAAGGAAGGAGACTCCCTACGGAACTATTTTGGAAATGCTATCTGCAGGATTGCAGGCTTCGTCACAGCGATGGCCCGTGTTATTTGGGCATCTGTTTGCCACAACGTACAGTCCAAGGATGCCGAGAAATGCAATCAGTCCTGCCCAGAAGGACTCATGGTGCAGGTGGTAGCAATAGAATTGTGCATATGGCAATGTTTCTTAGGCAGTTTCTTCATCGTCGAACAACACTATCTCTTTTGCATTCTTTGAAGAAATAAAACCTGTATATGTCAATCTTGCCGACAAATCCCTCCTATAGGGCTGTGTTCGTCGTGCCACACAGAATGCCAATGAAGCACTCTATGGCACTATTTGACATCTCTGTCCAAAGGAATCGTTCTGTAGCTCCTTAACTGTTGAGGCTGCTGTGTTCATTGCAGTGATCGTGTTCAATGAAGACCACAGTGAGCTTGCCGAAGTAGTACAGCGCACGGGATGCACTGTTAGTCCGTCGTTGGAGAGAAATCTAGGTGTCTTTCAAGAGGAAAGCTGTACCACAAGCGTAGAAAGTAGTCATAAGAGGAGCAAAAGGCAAGTAAGCATTGCAGAGCAGTGAAGAAAGGGTTTCTGGATCAGTCACAGCACAAGGAAGAAGAAACAAATGCTGCTGGTGGCTTTTGAAAGGTGAAACTGGAGTGTACTTTCTCCTGAATTTGACCCTCTTTTTCATGGACTCCGACAAGTTTGAGCCAACATATCTCAGCGTTTACTTGTCATAGAATCATAATCTTGGGCATTATTTACATCTACATGAAATTTGCTAGGTGCTAAACTAAACAGAACTGTCAATATCCCAGCGAGGTTCTTCCAACTGGCATGTCTCTGAATTACCTGTAAACATCGCGTTTCTGATCTGTAAAACTGAAAATCACAATGCTCCACTGTACATGTGTTTGCAAGGTTTAGTGTAGTTTAGCACGCTGAGCTGTCAGTCAGCATGAGGTCTGAGCAAATTTATACTGCTGAGCACCATTAGCCTCTGTTCTCTTTTGGCTCAATCCTTGCCCTGTACGTGCGATATGAACGCATTTTGGCTGAGAGGAAGTTTGGCACTTCAAGATATGTGAGATGTTTGAAAAAATGATTGTGAACCTAGTTATGAACACCCTCAACATCACTGCCAAGTTTGGTTTGGATATTCCTAGCTGTTCATGACTTCTGGTCCAAAGAGTGTAGTATACGGAAAAGGGGAACTGCCACCTTAAGACTCCTTATATTTGATTTCAAAGTTTGGACTCAATACAGTTGATTTTGGACCAATGGACTCTATATAGGGGTGAAGCCAATTGGCTGTACTCTATACAGCGAGTGATGTCAATCTAAACTTTGAGCTCACAGTTGATTCCAAGTTTGGACTCTGTACAGTGGATTTTGGACCAATGGACTCTATATAGGGGTTGGACATCATATAGGGGCTGGACGCTCTACTGAGTCCAACATATATACATCAAAAACATGTCCAATAGCATGTTCTAAGACCTCAGGGTTCTGGCAACTGGGCTCCTCGAATCTTTGGAAATGAAGTCCAAGACTATCAACAACGGGGTGAAAGAACCGATGCAGTCCCCAAAAAACAACAGCGCAGGAGAATATGGGACGCAAATTTGCCCGGATTGTGTGAAATATGCTAAGTGCACCCAATTGCAGCCCTCAAAAGAAAAGAAAAATAGACGGAACGTATTACCAAGCAGGATTCCAATCCACGACCTATCGTGCAAGAGACAGCATCGCGACCCAACTGACTAACAGAGTTTTAGCATTTTTCACCTTGCTCCCCCTTTTGTTCAGGCTGCCCGTTTTGGAGCCATCAGTTGCCTGATGATCATAGCAATGAGTGAAACTCAGCGTTGCGACACAAGTTTCAATCTCTCCATTGGGTAGCAGTGATTTTACAAATCTTACATTACCAGAAGCCACTCTAATTGTATCACATAATATGTAGTGATTTGGCGAGTTCCTGTCACTCGAGTTGAGCACTAGTGGAACATTGGTTTGAAAGTTGTAGCCTGCAGGCACGGTGACCAGGGGACTAGGGTAAGCATGAGCACGTTAAATCTTTTTTCTACCATGTTCGATTGGGAAAGAGGACCGAAAGATGCATCGCGGCCTTCTCGGATCAGTCGACTCAGCGTACAAAATTCTACAACATATACACCACTCGCACTCATTCGTTCTTTTATAGGAATGAAATGGGGGTTTTGGTAACATTTTGCATACAAAATCCCATCTAGTAGGGCGCAGTCACCCAGGTTCGATGGAAGTGGCAATTTCGATTGGGAATAAAGGAGGACGGAAGCCTCTCATTTTCCTTGGACGAAGATCATTCGAATTTGGGCAAACTTGGTATATTGTGCAGCCCCATTTTTGTGAGGACTGTATCGATTCTGTCACCCTGTGGTTGATAGATTTGGTCAACATTTCCAAAATATTCGAGGACCTCAGTTGCCAGAACCCATGAGTTTTAGAATCTGCTATTAGCACTGGAAATAGACGACGTGAAGACACAAAATTAAAATATTCATGTTGCAATAAATAGGACTAATTCTGCCGTCATCACTACACATCAACGAAGTCATCAAGATTTTTCAAAATCAATTTCACGTCACATTCATGAGTGGAATATTGGTTAACCCTTTGCATGAAGAGGACTCGTGTACACGCGCCTGGACCCCATGCAGGTTCACTGGTGATTGTGTACACCCGCACTTCGATTTGCGTCGTCTACCGTGGTGAATAGACCAGTGTACAAACGTGTGTTACTCTGTGAAAGAACCGCCGATCTTCACAAACGACACACTGTTGGTAAAGAAATGAGTTCAACTTTCCAGAGATACAGAATGCTTCGCCATAATATACTGAAGAGGGACAAAACGAACGCATTTTGATACGTGATGTTGATGCACTGAACAATCTTGCACCGTTCATTACAAGTTACCATGTACATGTATGGCATAATGCTGGTTTCAGGTTGACTTTCAACAAACATCTCCTGTTCTAGGCTTGAAGGGTCTAGCAGAGTTTTGATGTTGACCACATTGTATTTTCTTCATTCCTATGTGCAGTTCACTTCAACTGCAATACTCCCCAAGGTTTGTACTACGCCAGCGCCACTTCTTGGATGGGAACACTTTCTGGAGATGCTTTTGGGCGCTGTACCAGTATTGGACGTAGTATTTTGCAAGATTCAGAAACAAGTTCAACCTGCTTCCAAAGCTACCTCGCTCACATTGACTCTGCACTCGGCACTATGAACACAGTTTATACGAATTTGACCGGACAAGTGTCATGCTACCCAAAGACGACTCCGTGCCCTGGTTCAGGGCCTATTGTTATATGCAGTAATACCCGAACCGATGCTAGCAACGGTAAGACATGCATTAACACCCTCCATTTTCATTAGTTAGCTCTTTCTGTGATAAGGACGAGCGTATTCCTCATGAGAGGTCTGGAAAAAACGAATGGCGACGAGTTTACTCGTTCAACAGTTTGTGTAATATTATATTTTATTACATTGACCAGTGTAAGAAAGGTTTGCTCCCCACACCGGAGCTCGCGCTATTCCGCCGACTTTACTTGACACTTGACTGACTCACGACTGCCATCCAGAGCACACGAGAAGTCCATCGAACCTTCGACTCGGCAAACCTGCAAGAAAGCACCACTCCCTGCTCAATACACAGTGTTTCGGGGAATTCACCCCTCATCGGTTGAGCTTGAGTAGGCTGAGGAAGATTGTGCCTTAAAAGCACCACTTATATATAGTGCTCCCCAAACACAAATATCACCAGGGATACAAACTTACAGAGACGCTCCGCTTCCAGCGCGACAAACACCTCGTGAACACCAGATAGTAGCGTGAGTCAGTGTCGCTCCTGGACAGTGAGACATACGTCGAGGACCCTCGGTCATTCGCAATGCTGTCACCTCCAAACCAACTAGTCGCAAGCCCACGCTGGGCACAACAGTACGAAGTAGTGGTTGCGACTTCGGCGATGATTTGTAAGAAAGGTTTGCTCCCCACACCGGAGCACCGGAGCTCGGAGCGTCCCTGTAAGTTTGTATCTCTGGTGATGTTTGTGCCTGGGGAGCACTATATATAAGTGGTGCTTTTCAGCCACAATCTTCCTCAGCCTACTCAAGCTCAACTGATGAGGGGTGAATTCCCCGAAACACTGTGCATTGAGCAGGGAGTGTTGCTTTCTTGCAGGTTTGCCGAGTCGAAGGTTCGATGGACTTCTCGTGTGCTCTGGATGGCAGTCGTGAGTCAGTCAAGTGTCAAGTAAAGTCGGCGGAATAGCGCGAGCTCCGGTGTGGGGAGCAAACCTTTCTTACGAATCATCGCCGAAGTCGCAACCACTACTTTGACCAGTGTACTTTGTTATTCTGTCAAAATAGCCCGAATGTTACAATAATAGTTATTTAAATACCATTGAAAAGACCCGTGTGCTCATCTTTATAGGGATATACACTTATTGGCAATAGGGCAAAGTTGGAATGAGCAGCAACGAGATGAACGCAGAAATCATGGCAGTGTGCGACCATGCTTTTTGTTGTTGTTCATGGCCAGCAATCAAGGACATCTGAGAGTTGTAATTTTTGTACTCCTCCGAGGTGTGATTTTTGGCGTGCTGGGCCAAGCACAAGGAAGCCAACTGCAAAAAAACTGCAGAAAATCGTTGTTGTTTGATCCTTTGGTGTAATCTTTGTTTCTAGTCGAAGCTGGTTGCTGTTTGGAGCAGAAACGCTGAAATTTACTATTTTCTGCATGTACTCATACATGTACTCATGTACTCAGGCATGCAGTCTCACTCGTATTTTAGCTATTTTTCTGGAATGGATGCTGCTCTGCGCCCCTTGATGAACATTTCCTGCGCTCGTGGAGCAGCTGAAAAGGACCACTGGTATGTCTGGTTCCTGGTTTGAAAGTGGAGAGTCGACTTTTGTGCCTTGAAAAAGGAGTAGAGAGCGATAAAGGTACGTCTGTGGCTGATTTTTGAGTGCTCCTCGTACATTTTTGATCGTGATAGAAATTCTCAGACCAAAGTCAGACCAAAGTCAGCGCGATGATGGTCGTACAGTTTTCTTGTGAATTTTTTAGTTGTTTCATCTCGTATCTATGTCAGTATCGTGATGGTGAAGTGGAGAGGGTGATTTTCTTCCTCTAGGCTTCGTTCGGCCGACTTTGCTTCGTCCTCGTTGAAAAGTGATCCTGAAAAAAAGGTCGATTCGCAAAATTATGTTGATTTTCAATGTACGAGATGACATGCGATTGCTGGCTATGGATGACTTTGTTGTGTTATATAATGCAGGGCGCGAAATAACGGTCGGACATCGGACAATATCCGACCGTTTACGGTCAGTGTCCGGATGTTTTGTACACATCCGGACAAAGTGTCCGCGCACTTTTTATGCAAAGTACAAAAAAGAAAAGGCACGTCAATCCTTTGCCTCACAGTCATTAGTGATGTCGTCTGGCAAGAGAAAGCCAAGCACCGCTGATGCGGGTGCTCCTGTTGGAAAGAAGCCCATAGGACTCAAGACGACCACTTGTGACAAGTGGGTCGCCGAGTATGATAGGGAGCTTTTAACTTCTGTTTGGCTGAGATATGAGCGCAGTCCCTCAGATCGTAGCGTTGTCGAATATTTGAAGTGTAAGATGTGTTTACGTTTTGTTGATAAAATTCGCAGCAGCAAGAATTTTTCTGACTCCTTCGTTGTTGGCTCAAGGAACCTGAAAACGTCAGCCTTCAAAGACCATGCTGGTTCTGAAATGCATCGCCGTGCCATGGCATTGTTTGCCAAGGAGCAGTCAAGCGGAAACCCGATTGAGTGTGCGCCAATCGCTCGAGCCTTGTGCACACTTGACGACGCAGCAGCAGCCAAGGTCGGACGTAAGTTTGAAATTGCTTACCTGATATGTAAAGAGCATATGGCTTTCGCGAAGATGGAATCGCTCTGTCAGCTTGAGGCGCGTCATGGCGTTGATTTAGGCAGTGGACATAAAAACGAGAAAGCCTGCGCATTGTTCTGCAGTTACATCGGACTCTCGCTGAAGCAGCAGCTGAAGTCGCATTTGGAGAACAAGTTCTTCAGTATCCAAACGGATGGCAGCAATGACGCTGGGAATCTTGAAGAAGAATTATTCGTAGCTTTGTACTGTGACACCACGGCTAAAGACGGACGAATTCATGTGCGAAGTGAGTTTGTCGGTGTATTGCAACCTGCTGCTGTCGATGCTAATGGACTGATGGCATGCCTGGAACGTGCGATGACACTGGCGGAACTTGACTGGAAGTCAAAGCTGATCGGACTAGGCTGCGACGGTGCGGCTGTGAACATGGCGAGAAATGGATTGAGCGGCAAGCTTGCTGATGCAGTTCCATGGATTGTACCAGTTTGGTGTGTGGCCCACAGACTGGAGCTGGCCCTGAAAGATGCACTGAAAGGTACGATCTTTGATGCAGTAGATGAGCTGCTGCTGAGATTGTATTACCTTTATGAAAATTCAAGCAAGAAATGTCGAGAGCTGGCTGATGTAGTGCAGTCTCTTCGTGAAGGTCTGGATGCTGATGAGTCAACTGATGTTCTATCCAGTTCCAATGGTGGACACAGACCACTGAGAGCGTGTGGAACCAGATTCGTGGGCCACAAGGTTGCTGCTTTGAAGAGGGTGCTGGATCGTCTAGGAGTTTACGTCACACACTTGTGCAAATTGATTGACGACCCGGCAGTCAAGTCAACAGACAAGGCCAAACTGCGAGGCTATGTCAGGCAGTGGTCTTCTGGCAAGATACTGTACAGCTGTGCCTTTTTCCTCGACCTTTTGACACCAGTATCAGCCCTGTGTAAAGCCCTGCAATCAGATGAAGTATCCATCATCTCAACCATCGAGGCGCTATTGAGAGTGAATAGGTCCCTTGAAGCCGTACAGTCTTCCCAGTTTGAAGATCTCCCAACTGTGAGGAAGATAACTTCGAGAGTTACGGAGGACGAGGATACGGAAAAGTCTATGTACCAGGGCGTAGAGATCACAGCGTGTCAGCAGGGAATGGAGCGAGTCAAGGCTGTTCAAGCTGATCTCACCTCTTCCGTCATCAGGTGCTTGAGCTCCCGTATCTCAGATGAGCACCGCCAACTGTTTTCTGATGCACTTGTCGTTCTTGCCACGCACAGCTGGGCCAAACACCACGGAGAGCCCTTTGGAGATGACTCCATTGAACAGCTGGTTATGATGTTCCGTAAGCCTCTAGAAGCTGCTGGTGTTGACATTTCTGCCTTGGATAGTGAATGGCTTGACCTCACTGATTATGCCCATCGCTACCTTAACCTGACAGATTGCCACACGTCCGTCTGGTGGAAACTCATCAATGTCGCAGAGTCATCTCGCTGGCAGAATATCCTGAAAGTCGTCGAGCTCCTTTTCTGCTTGCCCCTGTCCAACGGAAAGGTGGAGAGGATTTTCTCAACTTTGAAACACATCAAGTCTGAGCGCCGGTGTAGTCTGTCTGAGGAGAGACTTGATGCGCTTCTTCGAATTGCAGTTGACAGACCACCAGCAGCAGATTGGAACCCGACCGCCGCAGTCTCCCTCTGGTGGAACGACAAGTGCCGGCGCACTGTCCATGAAACTAATCGTGCCACTGCCTGTGCTGCTAGTGAAATAGCCTTACCTGAAGAAGCTGCTCCTCTGGACCTAGACGAGTGGGACAACTTCATCAGCGACCACTAGCCTGACTCGAAGTCAGTACTCAGTCTGTGCTCTGCTGCTCTGCTAAACATGGACTTGTCTTTGATTCCTATGCTAATGGCATTTTTCATGCGTCTGCTTGTATCTCCTTTCGTACGACATTTATGTTATTAATGTAGCTGAAGATTCTGGATACTCAAATCTTACCTTTTGGTGTGGCGTGGCTTTTGATCAGCTGAACCTTGAAGTTGCCTATCAGTAATTGCTTCTGAGCCATGCAATGTGGCGCTTTCCACATCACTCAAGGGCAGCAGATCGCCTGTTGAATAGCTTGCCTAATTTTGTAAATTATGTGTTAACATTGAACTAATCTCATTGGCTATGTGCTCATAGCTTGCAGTGGTAAAACAGTAACTACAACAATTTTAATAATGCTCTTTTCACGTCGTGATAACATTTCGATGGTATTAATTCTACACTGAAGTAAACATTGTGTGATTTGATGTGAAAATTTGCATGTCCGGACATGTCCGGCCATTTTTGGAACTGGCAGGACATTGTGTCAGAGCAAATTTTATTCCTTAGCGCATGCCCTGTAATGGGCCAGGAGATTTCTTTCTGGCACAGGTCACGCGTGGTCATCAAAAGACGCACACTCACACATGACAGGTTAATGTG